CTTTGCCGCGTCTTCGTCTCTTCTTTCGCCGCGCGATGGGCCTCTTGGGGGCACCCTGATTTTTCTCGTTTCTATCCACAGGATGAGTTTAGTGCACCCGGACCTCATTCTTCAAAACCCTTTTTTGAACGAGCAACATAAATCGAACTACATTTCGATGCTATCTGCTTTATCGATTCGAAATGAGTGTTTTTTTTACGAGAACGAGCGCATTCATTATCACCGCATGGCGAGCGGCCTTCTCATAGACGACGATTATTCCAGTAATTACTTCGCAAACGCCAAGGAACTAGCACATTTCAAACTAGAATCCCACTGCTTAAGACATTGCTGTCAGGCTTCCTTCGCCCCAGGCATTTTTTTACCTATTCCTTTTTTTATTGATAGCTCTGTGAAGTGACGTTTTGTGGTCCATTTCCATCTCTGTTTTCTATTAATCCCTTAAGTAGACGATGAAGTGCATCCCTTTTGTTTTTGAGATGTACTTGTTTGACTTTAGTCTCCTTAATGGGTTTCTTTGTGGTTTTGGTTGCCCGTGATTTATCCCATTCGGTTTTCCATTACTGAGCTGTCGTAGGACGCCCACGAAGAGGAATCCTCACCGCATCCGCCCATGCCCTTCCTATTGCAAAAGCATTCAAAAGGGCACGTAATTTCGTCATTCGTCATGAAAAGCTCCCGTTCAATGGGTGGTGACGAAAATGGCGCGCATGCTATGCATTCCTCAAACACCACAGCAAGCTGTTAAGAAGAGGCCATCTTCTTCTTCGTCCGAAATTCCACTGAGCCGTTTTGTGAAAGAAAATGTTCACTTTCTAGTTGACGTCCTTCCCTTTCTTCTTTCAGGCAGAAGGGAACGGCTTTGCAAAATCAAATTTGTACTTGAACATTTTTCATCGAAACAATTATTGTCCTTTTTGAGGTTCTATAGTACACAGGCTTTTCCCTGGACTATGACTGACTTGAGCTATAACGGCGTAGATAGCGAATTTTTCAACAAATTGGCGAGAGCGCGGCTCAATAGACGGGCCACCTTGCACACGGAAGGGATCCGTCTTGCTTGATTTATTTGACAATTTCATATTCCATAATTGTTCGATTGAATTCCGGATTTGGAAGACAATACAGTCAATACAGTTTTTAATTCCTTCTTTTTCCGTGTTGCGCGTTGGTTTCGTTTGTTGCCACATAATTTCCTCTTATGTGAAAATTCATCACAGTTTCGAACTAAGCTAAGGAAAATTAATATTGTTGAGGTTCTTAGGTTAAAAGATGTGGAATAGCGCATGAAAAGTAAAAAGCTAATGTGGTGGATTTTTTCTGATACGGTGTGGAAACTTGCTGTATTCCCTTCGATGCCACAGTCAATATAATTCGGCCTTTCGAGTACATGCCAGTTTAAAAAGACGCCAAATACTATCCTTCGCATGTGGTATTGATGGCTGTTTAGTTTTATCGTCTCGTTGCTTCGCTATGTTCAGTAACCCTCTTGCTATGTGCTGGTTGACTGATTCAGTTCATGTGTTGACAGGGCTTACAACCTTCTTGCTTGCATGGCGACGCAGGATTCAGGATAACCGATATTCTCGCCAACCTATAATTCGATAAATAGAGTCACAGGTGACGATCGCGATTGATTTAAGTTCAATGGTTACATAGTGGCCGTCTGCTATGACTTCCCGAAATGGGTGGGGCGGCGGAGGGGAGGGTTTTTCCCCCCTTTTTTTGGGAAAATTTTCTCTATCTTCCCACCTGGGATTGCCCTGATAAAGGATCCACATTTGATGCATGTATGTAGGTAAAAGTAAACATGCACTGAAAATGAAGAAACTATATCGTTCAAAACAAATAAATTTAAAGGAAACTTTAGATCACTAGCTTCGGGGAAGCATAGCATACGGCCCTGGCTTACTACTAGCCAGCTTGCACAATTCATGTGAGGTGCCGGTAAAACCTGCTGTTCGAACTTTGAGCAGTCTGGTTGACCCGAGGTGTGACGAAGGGCATCGATAGCCGGCTGAATGTGGGTTCTGTTTCAAGGCTAATGCTTTTTCACTACGAGCTGTCGCCTTGCAATACACATATTACGCTTTTGGCTTGTGTCGCTAATTCACTCTAATGTCTGAATATCCTAAAAAGTTAGATATGGATGTAGTTATCCTTAGCTATTTTTTTATTTTGTTGCTAAGTTCTGGATCTGGTCTTTTTACGCACTATCTTAATGTTCGACGGCATGTCTGTTCGACGTACTAAACAATAAACAACAATAAACAATACATTCATTGCCAATAGTAAAATATTGAAGGGGTTAAAAGGATAAAGCATTTGCCGTTGATCAATCCCTTTTTGGGATGCGGCACGCATTCTACTTCCATTTGTACATTCGTAGTGGCGTTTGAATGCGATGTGGCCTATACAATGACTTGCGGGGGCCAGCCGATGTACAAGTCAGTGTTTTTATCCTCCCAGACAAGTCTGGTACCAATTAACCGACCCCGGAGGGATGGAAGGCTTGGTTGGCCCGGGCGACTCACGACCCAGGATTTGATCCCCGGACCGCTCGCGTGGTAAGCGTGCCACTTGCCACTACACCACTTCCGCCCCATTGAAAGGTTAGTTACAAAAAACCGTAAAAATGCCGAGGTGCCCGTCCAAAAATGGTGCGGAACCTCACAATCAGCTATCTAAGGCTATTTTCGGCCAAACAGGAACAATTTTTGGTCATAAAAAAGTGACACCGAAGTTATTCATTTGACGGTTGTGGATGACTCACACAGTGGACGGTTTTTTTCAATATTTATTGGATATGAATTCATTTTCTTTTTTATCGCCTACCTTTGAATGTTCTATGCGTCATTAGTTTGAATAACTAATAGCACTAGGTGATTCAGCTCTTCAGTCCTCCTAGGTGGAGCATACAGACGACGTGTGATGCTGTTACTGAAAGTTTCTTCCATGATTGGAAGACGTGCTCATTGCGCTTTACACTCAAGTGGTAACGAGGTAGAAAAGGCAAAAAAAGGGAAATGCTGAAGCGTCCAGCTTAGGGCCTTCCTTCTTCACTGGTTGACTCTGTTCGAGAAAATCTTGTTGTAAAAGAAATTGTGCACCACAGGAAAGGTTACCAATCAAGAAATATTGCGAAAGATGTCTAATGTGCTGAAAGAGTATTAGAACTCGCATAGCGGAGTTAAGATGAGAAAGAAGCAACTCCTAGCCAGCTCCTCAGGCATTTTGCGTCTAGCACCTATGGCGGCAAGATCTGCAAATGTCGATTATTACGCAAGGGCCGTGCGCATATTCAAGTCGTTGGAGACTCGCTACCCGACCTTTGGTTTCCAATCTTTCGAGGTTTTTACTCTGACCTTCCTTTTTTACAAAGTATCTGGAATGCAAATCGTTTAATATTTATGTGTCTTTAATATATTTACACGAGCCAATGAGCTATGATTTATTTTTGCCTTGAGTGTTTCGCTTTTTCTAGAGATTTTACTACGCGTAGAAAAATTTGTTTACACAATGTATGCAGACAAAGATGGACGACACTCTGACGACTGATCAAGAATTTCGCACCGCATCGGACATTGACGCGCAAGCGCGTCAAGTCTATGCTACTCACTTTTATCGTGCTTGCGCTCCTTCCTCTCGGGTTTCTTGTATTCATTCTATAGATAATACATTAGCATGACTATAAACCGCTTGGCAGCTAGAGTGGTCAAGTATCTTTTGATTAAGCAAAGATTTTCCGAACGCACAAAACTTTCGTTCCGATTCTTTCTTAATAATACTTTCACTGCCGTCAATATTCTTATGAAAGATTTTAGAGTTAGTTGAAACAAAACTCTGTGAGTTTCAATACATTTGATTTGATAGGCGACAACTACACAACTAAGAACTGTTAATAATAGAGTCGCCTACCTTTTTTTCGTAGCTTTCTCAGATATACGGCTGTGTAATTCTTTTATTCGCCTTTCCCGGGAGTGATGGGCTTTTTTAATTCTTAGTGGTTAGGGTACTGCGCTGTCTTGCTGAACGAAAATGGTGCTAACTTAGTTGGGGGGGGGGCCACGCGGCGGCGCGGCAGTCAGTCTGCTCACCTGGGCTCTCTCGAGCGAGACAGTGTAAACTCGAACATTCCAGCTTTTCACGCATGTCAAGTGACTGCCCCCACCCCCCAACCCCCTAGGCTGGCTACACTCCCCCTGGCCCACGGATTTCCGAACATGCCAGGCGAGCAGACTGCCGCGCCGCCGCGTGGCCCCCCCAACTAAGTTAGCACCGAAAATATTTCATACTTATATACTTAACCTTTGTGCGATCGTCCTTGCCGAAATAGTCCTATGAAATTCAAGTTATTGTGCATTTTTAACAAAAAATAAGCGTAAGTAAGGTGAGGACGGCGCGGTCGCAAAATCGCTCCTGTCCCACGAGGTGCAAATGCCAAAACATGCGATGCTTTCTTTCGTCAACTGTTTACGCAAGATGTAAGCTCCAAAAGTTTTATTCCAAAAGAATTCCAAAAGTTCACAAAAGTCCAAATACTCCAAAAAACGAGCCAAAAATTTTTGAAAAGAATTCCTTTGGAAACTTCCGCGATATTTCGGTGTATAACACCTTCTTCAGGCATGGAGTTGCCTCTGCCAAGGATGAAGCTACCCTTACGGGAGCCGCGCCGATGGAGTAGAACAGAATTTGGATTCCGTTGCCTTAAGAAGGTGTTATACACCGAATTACTTTCAAATTTTTTTGGCTCGTTTTTTGGAGTATTTGGACTTTGTGAACTTTTGGAATTCTTTTGGAATAAAACTTTTGGAGCTTCTCTGTGTTAAACAAATTTAGGTCCTGATGAGGCTCCGGGACAGCACAATACTAAGAGATTAGAAAACTGTCTAAAAACGAATTGAATAAGCAAAACATGAACTAATCTTTGACCATAAATTATCGGATTATTTGACCACAAATTATCGAAATAAGTTTATCAAGTACGAAGTTATTACGGAAATGTGGTCCAGTTTCCGAAGCTAGAAAAACAAGGTTGTTCTCGGTGGTCCAACGCGAGTAAGTGGATTTCAAAAGAAAAAAAGAACAGACCATCAGGGAACTATCGAGTTGAGGTTCACGTGACCATATGGACGAGGGCATCCCGGATCCCCGTTGGCTGGTTTGCTTTTATCGCCCGATTAACTCGAAGCATGTGAGAGGCGGGGGAGGGGGATGGGTAGGGTGACATGATAGCAAAACTCTGATACAGAACTTGCTGCATTCACGTTTCATTCGCTTCCTTTGATCTGACTGAAGAACAATTCGAGTGAAGAAAGTTCCTCCTTACTTACTCGTCCATGATAAAATACTCTGAACTTTGATAAGAAGGAAATTACCTGCGGACTGAATTGCTCTTGACTTCTTGCTTCTTCTTCTTCTGAATGGCCTCCATGGCGTTGAAACCATGCCCTTCTTCAGCTGATGAAATGTCTCATTTTAATTTCAAAGGCTTTTTCATTAGAAGACGCACATCAAGAATCGATATTTCCCTTCTTCTATTGTCTAGACTCTCTTAGGTTGAGGAAGCTGTTTTCTATAAGGTTCAGTAATGAACTTTTCGGCATTCAATGTGCATTTTGCAGAACGAAGCTCTTGAAAAGGAACAGAGCGAAGGGGTTTCCTGGACCAACATCATCTTTTTCACATTCAATTTCCCTTTGTGAAATTTACAGCGAGACGTGCTAACATTTATCAGGGAAACGAATTCACGTCGGTCTCATTCTTGCACAATGTAATCTATTTACATTTCTGAAGAAAGAGCATGGTAGTGTCACGGCAGGTGGCGCCGTAACACATCATATAGTGTTGCGGTAAATTCCTGGATCCATTCCCGCCGAAGTTTACCGAGTCATATATGCATCATTTTGACCCATTGGCGACAATGCGCGTGTCTGCCACGTGGGACCACGCCTTTTTCAATATTTTCGAAAAATGCGTCATAATGCAGCAAACCACCGGCACCAAAAATATTGAATCTCAAAGCAGAAACTGTTGAGACTTTGCACGTCTCAAATTGTTGCCGATCGCTG